AACAATATGTAATGATTTACAATTTATTAAAGTCGTTATATCAAATAAAATATCGGTGTTATTAAATTAAAATATCATTATCATTGTTCATCCTATCCTATGAAATCTTTTCTGTCCATTACATAGTTTATGATCAATTGTACAAAAGTAGAGCAAGAAATTAGACGACGCAAATATAGGTGTGACTTAAAGAAAAACATTATTAATGTTCCATTAATATTTAGTCTCAATATAGTGTTACAGTTGTACAATTTTCATCAAGACACTGATATTCTAATCTCCTACTTATAACAATTGTAAGACGTTTAATAATGGAATATCCTTTCCATTATCGTTGTCAACTTGATAAAGTTTACTCAACTGAGTAAGTCAACTTAATGAACTCATAATAGTATCATAGAGAAGAAGGAAACCTGTGATTAGGTTGTGACTTGTCAGAATACTAGTAAACTATTTGATAACTAATTGCTTTAATGACCTTTTTATATTATTTTTTTGTTGTCTGGCATGTTGACATATTTTAATTACAAAGATGATCTTTATGACAAGTTCAGGTATATTTTTAATCGTTATTTTATATATCAATTGTGCAATAGATATTTTTTTATAATTTAAACTAATCATTTTAATTAAGATTAAAATTAAGCTAATCATTTAAATAGATTTATATAATTTATGAGACAAGTTCAATATAAAATGGTCCTTCACAATATTTTTATATATAATATCAAATATTTATGACATTCACAATTTAGGATGATGTTCTGAATCTTCCTAATGATTTTAAATATGTGACCACATTTAAAGAGACAGTATTAATAATACGGTCTTAGATATGACATCGAGTATACCAGACCGTATTATTAATACAATACGGTCTTTTATATTATTTTATAGTACAAAAACGTAATTGGTTCTTAAATAAACTTAAGAGCTCTTCATTATAGCAAAAACTGAACTTAGTCTAGTTTCTGGCAGATGGTGTGGTAAACGTTAAAAATGTTTGGTATATAAAAGAATAATTAAAATGATACTTATATTTGTATATTTAAAAGGATGTTTTAAATAAAATACTTATTCAATAATTTAAAAGATACTTATAAAATTTTTCTCTACTTACAGTATTATTATACAATGCTTGTTGGCTAATCATATTATGTCTTCGGTTATCCGTTTTGTAATCTCAAAAGTAAACGGAAATAAAACTTACTTGCGATTGACTAGGATAACTTAAAATATTGAACTCTTCTGAGTTAATTTTCGATTACATGTTGGCACATAGCTAATAATAGATGGGTCTTAGCTTGAAGGATATTTGCTTTTAAAGCGTTCAATATTTGAGAATTTTCCACATAGTCAGGATTATCTTTCAAAAAGCACTAGAGGTGACAATCGTGGCAGTGGTGTTGAAGCGACATATCTCCACAAATTTATATCTTTACCTTCACGCCAAATAAAATTGGTTATTATAAGATCGTAGTTTTTAAAATTCAGAAAATATTTCTAGAGTAAATGCTGTAGTTGGACAGAAATCTCTTTGTTCCCAATAATCAACAAAATACTAACGTCGGTACAGCAAGAATGTGCCAAAATGGACCTAAAAATTAATATCTCCAAAACTAAATCTATGCGAATCAACCTTAATAATAACGCTCAATGTGATATAAACATTGAAGATTTCACTCAATGTGAATACTTAGGTAGTATGGTCACAACGGATGGTGGTGCTTTGATTGATTCTGCTACACGGCTTCGTACAGCCAAGGGGGCCTTCGCCAATCTTAAAAATATTTGGAAATCATCTAGAATCCATCTTAAAACGAAGATCAAAATTTTCACCGCCTGCGTCAAATTTGTTTTGCTGTATGCATCAGAGACTAGGTATGTGACTACAGTTATCACCCATTAGTTACAAACGTTTGTAAATAGATGTCTGCGTCAAATTTTAAGAATATGGTGGCCACAAACTATTAGCAATGAATTAATGAACTAACCAATAGTCAATTGATAAAGAAATAATTCAGAGGAAATACGGAGGGCTGGGGCATACTCTTCGCAAGGCAAACACCTAAATTGATCATGTTGCACTTATTCATATTATTTTTGAACTTGTTAATAATAATAGTTATTATAATGACATTTTCTGCCCATCACATCTCTAGACCAAACGACATACCATTCAGTAACGTTTTGTATAGGTGTTTCGATTTTTAATTGTGGATTTTAACTGCTTAGATACGTTAATTTTGTTTGTTAACGTATAACAAATAACTTTATACATAAATACGTAGGTCTATCCATGACGTAGTACGTCACATTATTGAGCCCATATATTTCGACAGGTAATAGGTAATGATAATTGAGAGGCTTGCAAATTTTTTTCAAGAAGAGAGATCACTTTATACTTAAACTATATATGTTGAACTGATCGGTCTAAGTTTTCTGAGTGACAGTTACTCATATTTTGCAAAAGCAACATTATTAGGAATTATGTGGTTTTTCTTTATAAATAATAGTAAACATAATATTGCAGATATAATAGTTTTTATTATCTATAAAGTATACAAATATAAAATATCTGGAAAAGAGCTAGATCCTCATTTATCGTAGTAGAAAAAGTTGCTCTGATTATCTGACTCTTCTATACTCTTCTGTCAAATCTTTATCACCGGAAAATCTAGATAGTGTACCGAAAAATAATCTAATAAAACATATTTATATACAAGTTCTAATATAATTATTATTATTAGCGAAATTCGAATTTATTTATATTTCAATTTTCATATGTAATATTTCATCTTATAGCAGTTTTGGATTTCGCATGGGTGGGTACGTAACGGGTACGGTTATGGATTACACAATGCGTTTTATTGGTCACCTAAAGTGCAATGTCAGTAAATATTTATTAAATAATATTCGCTGGATGTACACAAATACGTAATAATCCTGAGGAAATGAAAATTGCAATTTTATTATGGAATTGAAAATGTTAATATATGCGTATTTCAATATTTATTGAAATTTATTAATGAAGAAGCAAATGTGATATTTTTATGTATAAACTAAAAACTAAAGCAAATCTTTTTCTTCCGATAATTATTATTATAATATTATTTCTTTTAAAACTAACGTAATTAAATCATATACAAACAATATCAGCTCCAAATAACTACAAAGCGAATCCTTTCACTCCACTTATGCAAGCAATCTTCACTCAACTAAGCTCAAAAATATAACATAAAATAAGCAAAAGTCAAAAGAAAGTGCCAGCTAACAGCACTACAAGTTACTCTTGTAAACCATTACTTTGTCGAAATCAGGAATAGGCCAAGGAAATGGTAAAATAGACAAGGAAGTGTAGGCAAGCAGGCTATATATTAAGTATTTTAAGTAAATACCCAGGTTGCGATGATCTATAAAACAACTATGGGTTTTGTCAAAACTTGAGACAAGAAACAAAGATTATAACTTTTATACTGCGATATTCAAAAATGATAGTTTTAACATTAGCCCCTTCACCTTACGGCAGTAGACTCATTTAAGTCTCAGACAGACTTAGCCCATTTGATATATTTTTTTAATAATACAACTTCATTTGAATTGACTTTAAAACAACCAAGTCTCTAACCGATAAATGGATTACAATCGAAAAAAGTTGGTATTAGCGTGACATCCTGGATAATTATACTACTTCATTTGAATAGACTTTAAAAGAACTCAGTATTTAATAGAGAAATGGATTGTAATCGAAAAAAGTTAATATTGGCATAACACCCCGGAAAACCGTTAGGTTAAAAAGCTGGCTAGTCCTTACAACTACGGTAATATGTTCCTTCTCAATACAGTACAGTCAAGACTGTTGGTGGGTGAATAACATATCTGTGTCTCATGAAACGAAATATAGACTCTATTTGAAAGCAGATGCTAGTTTTGGTCACATATTGTGTAACTATCCAATTTAGGTCTAGGGTGCGGCAAGAATATTTAGCTGGGAGCTTGTGTGTGCATCTCTATTCTTTGAAATCGTTAGTGGGAGACATTTTTACCTTAATTTACGTGGCCGAGTGTCTTCTGTTTGGTTAGGTTCGGTCGTTAATACAAAATATTTAACATGGACGCAGTGTTTCGCTCCATTGGAAATTACAACCTTGTTCATATCTATTTCTATTGCTTCTTCTTTGAATTTCATAAAATATGAACCATCTAAAAAAATTCGGATTCACAAGCGGAAAGTAGGTTCCCTATTATTGTTATTTGATATATTGTTAATATGGAACTTTTAATCATAAAGTGGTCTGTAGTATTCAACTTTATAACTCTTAAAAGCTGAAAACTTTTGAATAGAAAAGAAGAATAAATATAAATAAATAAGTGTTTAAATAATTAAAGACTTACCTCGATTCTGCCGGTTTTTTTTTAAATTTTCGAAAAATGAATTATAACTAGAATTATGTTAATTATAAGATCTCTTATTTCAATTGCTCACAACATATTTTTGGGGAGAGAAAGTCTATAGAAAATGCTTCTTTGAATTTTTGCAATAATTCTTATTAATAAAATCAATGTCATCCCGACATGGTAATGAAAGGTAAAAGATGGTGGCTTTCTACTAGTGATTGGCAAGGAGGAGTTGCGTTTAGAACGAAAATAAATAGGTATAGTCTGTTACATGAATACATTCTAGCTAACATTGTCGACTTATCAATATATCAATATTGATATCAATATAATAAAACCGGCGTGATTCAAATTTTCCTTGCCCATCAATTTGAATACTTTTTATTGGTGCGTTATGTCTATACCTCTGAACCTAAGGTATGTTCATATAGATTGTGGTTGAAAATTGCCGTCTTTAAGCATATTGTCAAATGGGCGTGTTTGGAAAATCGAAATCGTGTCAAAAAATCGGGATATAAATAATCAAATACATATTTATTACTTTAGACCTTGTTGTATATGTTCAGGACGTCCTTAAAGAAAGTGCAAACCAAAGTCAATTTCAATAAAATAACTTTTATTTCTAATAAAGATTTTGTAAATATTTAAATAATTCGCATTGTGTTTTGTATAATTCAATCGATTGCTTAAAATATTATTTCTACATAATTTGTATATAGCAGTTGCGTACATAAATACATATTTGATTAATAATGATGCTTCCGTAAGAGTAACTAAAATTAATAACACGATAAATAATTGCATTTATTCTCAATAAATCGCCTAAAATTTAAGGTGCATTGCATTCAAAAGGCGCGCTTCGTTGTGCTTTCATCGTTTTGGAGTTGTTAGTCTTAAAAATGTCCATAGGCGTCGGAGTGCACGCGGCTTTGGAATAAAACGAACTCAATATTCTCTTTAAATCGGCAGATGTCAGAGCAGGGTACATGAGGCGTCATGTCTGCAACGCCGGCTGAGGCAGGTACGAGAGCCGACTTCGTAAATGAAATCGGGATTGCTGATGTAGTGCTGGTTCAGTATTTGGCTACCAAACAAAGGGGATACCCGCAGTTGCGGTTGATGCATATGAATAGGTGGAAATGTTGGCTGTTGTTGTTGATGGTGGGCTAGGTGGTTCAGTGCAGGACTTGGTAGAATAATGGTGCTGACGCTGCTTTGGCCTCATATGCCCTGCAGGTACCTTCGTAATTCTTCTTCTGTATCAAAAATCATAACAGGAAATGGTGAACCAGGTACAAATTCACCAGCCCACTTCACTTCGACACGATAGTCACCAGGCTCCGTTGGGTCGTACTATTGTGGAAGATATTCAAAAAATGAGATAAATAAGAGCAAACATAAATCCATTGTTAACTTACTTTGCAGAGAATTGTGCGATCCTTTTGACTTTCTCTTTGCATTTCAACTCGGAATGCACCTTTGGGACCGCGTACTCGCACCGTTAGTTGACCTGCACCAGCACCGCGGGTGTCACATATGAAACGCGATTGAAATGTTGCTAAAACACCATGTTCAATACCAGGTCCATAAACTCTTACCTGAAATTTATCAAAATAAATCAATATAAAGTATCAGAAACAAATAGCAAGTGAAGTTAAAATACCTTGCTTGCATCGGGAGCACCGGCGACTTTTATAGCAAATGGCGAGCCTGGTACATTTTGTCCACCATATTTTATAGTTAGCATATGACGACCTGGTTCTTGTGGTTTGATATTTAGAGTAAATGTAGCATCGCCATGGTCATACAATTCGCAATAAGCAACTTTTCGTGGACCTGCACAATGCGCAGTTAGTTCACCTGGACCAGCGCGTCTTGTGTCAATCCATGATTTTATATCTTTTCCGACAATGCCATGTCGTAAACCTTCACCAGAGCAAATTACTTTGGAAGCATCCATAGAAGAACCGACAGCCACTGTAAGTGGACAACCTTTAACCACACGCCCATTCCATTTAACTGTTAAAGTAAGTGAACCAGATGAAGACTTTTGTGGCGTATAAGAAGCCAACCAAATATTTTCCGTTGGACGTGGTTGAGCCAAGCTAACTGGCACAGATGTATTGTCTTGGTGAATAAGTATAACTTCCGGGCGACCAGCAGGTGCACTCGTCGCATCAATTGTGAAATGCGCTGCTTCACCAGCTTGTGCAGCTGCTAATCCTCTACCAGTCAGTACAACTTTATCTGCAGCTTGTTGGCCGGTAACATAAGCACTACGCGGGCACTGTACTATTGTAAGGCCACTCCATGTTAAGTCTAAATCATGTTCTCCAGCTGCTAAACTATCGGCCGATACATAAACACGCATCTTGCCATCGCTAAGCTTATCAACAGGAATTTCAATGCCGTCAATCGTACACACCAATTCACCTGGACCAGCATTTTCAACATCGAAAACAATTCGTGCCGGCAGTATTAGACGACCCTCATGGTCCAGTAAAGTGCCCCAGCCACCAATGGGAGTTACTTTAGAAGCCTCCACACATGAAATATGCCATGGTGAACCGGGAAGATTTCCACGATTCGGACAGCTCGCACGAATTTCATAGCGACCAACGGAGAGGATTGTGTAAGATATACGCCACTCATTGTTGCCAAGTGCCTATTAAATGGATTTGTAAGCTGCCGTCTATATAAGCTATTCTTATCAATACTTACTTTTATCTTCGGTTCAATACGTTCACCAAATTCGTCCACTTGTTCTATTTGCACATTTGGAGCAATAGGACAGTAGACAATAAACGAAGTTTCTTTGTTGCGATGACATACTTCTAAGCCATTTCCAGCAGCACGCGTATCATTCTTAACACCGGTAGCAGAAGCCGTGAAAGTGAATGGTGAGCCTTGTAATGTTTCTCCACCATACATGAGTGTAAGTTTGTAATTACCCGGCTGAGAAGGCACAAACTCAATACTGTAAATGCCATCTGACTGTTCAGTTATGTGGACGGGTAAATTCTGATTTGTGGGTGAAACTGCAAATGCCTCCAGCTCCGCAATGCCAGCATTTTCGGTTCGCACTGTTTTAAAGAAATTGAGTTATGTATTTGTTTTTTTATATATATCAATAAATATAATAGGAAAACAAACCTGTAAAACTGATTGGACTATGAAGAGCAAGTTGACCTTTTGGCACACTTTGAACGTGAACTCTACTTGAATCGAATGATTCACATGTAAATGGACTACCAGGTAAAGGTTTGGATTGATGTAGTACCTCTGCAACAATAGAAAAAAAAGCTTAAGTATCTGTCATAATATTTTTATTATGTGTAATATTACCTATTACACATTGTCCAGGTTTATTAATCGTGAACTCTGCTTGCAGATGACCGCTCTTAGTTTGATAGCAACGAACGGGAAGTGCTTGACCACCAGGTCCGGAAACAACTACATCAAATTCTCTAGCAGGACGTTTGATTGTATCGATTGCAAATGAGGTCGTTTTGCCGGCACGCGCTTGATAGAGCCCCAAGCCACTTACGCTGATTTCTTTGCCAGCACCTGCTGGGAGCACATTGATTTCTAGCGGTTTAAGTGATATTGGAACGTCATTGAAAAGAATCGTTATTTTGTGTGGGGCGACACGTGTTGGGTGATACACAATTTCGTACGCTCCCAACTTCGTAGGACCACGTATGGAATGTGGAACCTCAGTACCACCACATTTTACTAACGCCGACAATTCTCCTTGACCAGCTTCGTTAAGCGATAGAGATATACTAGCTGGACGGTGACAAAGTGCTTCGCCGACTTCTGTTATTTTGACAAGTGAAGGATCAAAGACGGTAAGTGTGCGAGTGCCCATATGCTGACGGGTTTCTCGATCAATAAATCTAATAAGATAGTTCCCAGTCATATGTGTGCGGAATTCAGCGGTTTGCCTGGTAATGGTATATGGTACGGGCTTATTATCGGGCCCAACAATTTCAGCGATTTGGTCATCAGTGGGAAAATCAATACAGGCTAAACTACCAATTTGTATGGTTTGTGTTGTTTGCTGTATTTCAACACGGAAGGGACTACCATCGACTGGCACTTCATTGAATGTAATATTGACATAATGTGTTTCAGTAGTCTGCGGTAGAAATGTAACATCATATAAGCCACGCGCACATGCCACAACTTCTGCTTTAACAGTACTGGTATCTGTAGAAACGACAAGTTCTAATGTTCCTTCCCCAGCACCTGCAGCGTCAACGCTAAAAGTTACTGGTATACCCAGAGCCGCTGGTCCATATTGCTGATCTAGCCCGCTTATCGCCACCCGAGATACATCGAACACATTACATGAGAATGGCGAACCATTTATATGCTGATCGTTTGCAGTGACGCTTATTAAATGCCGTCCAACAACATTTGGACAGAATGTCGCCGTGTAGTTACCATCTTGACCACTTGTTAGACAGGGTACAGTTTCGCCTGAAGGGGAAGTGACAAAAATTTGTGGTTCGACATCTTCAAATCCTTCCAACTCGAATGAATTTTCTATTTTCACAGCAGCTTGCTTCAGAACTTCACCTGTTGCTATGGCGCGTGGTAGAGAAATAGGTGCTGCTGATATATGACATGTAAATGGTGAACCAGGAACTGGATGACCATTGAAACGAACTGAAAGTGAGTGAGCGGCTGCTTCGGTTGGCTTAAAATTAACTTTGAAACGTGCATTGCCCTCAGATTGCACAAAATTTGGAACATTCTTTCCGTTGACGGCAACAATTATTTCCAAATTGCCAGCACCAGCTTGACTCGCATTAATGCCAAAGCTTACGCTCTTGCCTACTAGACCCGGACGTATGTCAGTAACAATAACTTTTTCAGCGGAATATGCTTTAAGTAAAAATGGACTGCCTTCTACATGGCCAGCACCTGGTAAGCGCACCTCAACTGAGTGATCACCAACTTCGATTGGTTCAAATTTTATTGTATAACCGATGGGCTGAAGTGGATCAATTTTTACTGGTACACTACGTCTCGCTGGACCAAGCACTTCCACTAAAGGTTCTGCATCTGATTCCACAACAAATTCAAACAGACGTCCAACGCTAACTTTATCCATTGTATCTGGTGATTGTATACGCGCAGCAGCTGATACACGACAGGTAAATGGTGAACCAGGTACATCTTGACCATTGAAACGTAACTCGACCGTATGATTTTGTGCATCGCGTGGTGTGAAGCTTATGGCATATGTATGCTGACCCTGTGCTTGCGCTGAAGTTGGTACACGTCCACCATTTACAGTGACTTCGAGATTGCCTGGTCCAGCTTGTGAGGTCTCAACTAGAAATGTCACAGGCTTACCAACTGTGCCGTTGCTCACATTCTTAACTTTTATGGCGTTCACATCATAAACCTGTGTAGTGTGTGAAAGTTAATACACAATATAATAAGTTATTTTTATCCGTAGATCCGTAGATATATATATGTAAGTAAAGGGAAATATACATACCTTTGCCGCATAGGGGCTACCGGCTGTAGGTAGACTGTTCACGTTCACATTGACACGATGCTCACCCACTACTCTTGGTACAAACTCTGCTTTGAAGATGCCGTCCGATGTCTGATGAACTTGCGCTGGTACAATTTGGCCAGCGGGTCCTTTATTGCGATTTTGACGCGATTTTCAAGCGATTTTTGTTTTTAGTTTTATTATTTATTTTTGGTTTTATTTTTTGTAATTCATAAATAAATTTTCGTTTTGGTTTTGTTTTCATTAATGGCGCAGATATAGAAAACAACGGAGTCAAAATTTGTTTTGTTGAAATTTTAGTGTTTGAGCGATTTAAAAGCGTTTGTTTTAAGGCGTGTTAGTTGAATTAATTTTGGTTTTTATTTTGTTTTTTGTTTGATAAGTAAGAGAAATTTGGAAAAAACGTTGGATTAGAATTTGTCATAAAACACTCGTATGAAATGATTTTTAACTATGTGCGTTAATAAAAGTAGGAGGGGCGGAGAATGATTAGAGTTACTGAGTCCATAGTAGTTTACATGCTTTGAGTATGAAAGATAACTAAAACGCTACAGAAACTGTTAGGGTTTCATATTGAGCTATATAGAATAGACTGGGTGGGGATAAGAGTATTTTACAATGGGTTTGGGTGTACTAACTAATTTTTTTTTCTAATTTTAAAAGATTTTTACAATATATGCTACTTACTACTTTAATTTAAAAAAAAAAATTACAATACAATTTTTCATTGCGGTTTTGTTTTACTTTAAACTGAACCCCAAGAAACGCAACTGCCAACACCAATCTTTAACAGTTAATAACCGAACATATTAATTCATTAAATTTATTAAATTTTTATTTATAATAATAAAATAAAATATTATTATCATAATAATAAATTATTAATAATAATATTATTGAATTAAAAAATATTTAAAAATTTTTGTCTTAAAAAACTGAATAAAAAACTCTCTTCTTCTTTTTTTGTTTGTTTATTAAAAACCTTTAAATTGTAACATTAATAAAATATTAAAAACAAAAACAAAAAAATTATATTTTAAAAAATTAGTAAATCAAAAGTTAAGTGTTCCACATTGACTTGTTTCCGCATTGGAGCTGCTCTCCAACAACTCCTCTCGAGGGAATTTAGTTAAAATAAAATATTTAAGTTTTTTTTTGTTAATAAAAATATTTCCAACTTTTAAGAACTAATTTAGTTAATATTTGATGGGTTAAGTTTCGCTTCAATACAAGCAATAAAATTAAAAAAAATATTTATATATATGTAAAACAGTAAGAAAAATATTATATGCATAAGTATGTATATATAAAGAGTCTAGTACAATAGTTTTCGTCGTCCTGAAATATAATACAGATATAAAAGTAAGTTCAGACATGACATAAAATAAACACAAATAAAAAGTTATAAAAATAATTAAAACATAGAACACGGATATAATACAAGGCAGCTTGATATAGACAAAATATAGCCTACACATAAAGGAAGGAAGTTAAGGAAAATGTGGTAGTGGTGATACAAAGGATATTGAAGAGTGGAAATTCGTGCAACTGAAAAGTGGTAATGAAATATGGAACGACGTTATGTTATCAGTTTGCAGATCTAAATGAAAAATATTAAAACAAAATAAATATCTAATCTTGACTGTGTATAAGCTTTTAAACCCCTCAATAAATCTTATTTATTCCTGTGTCACTATGCGAGACTCAAATTAATTAGCTTAAAAACTAATAAACGACATTGTCTATTTATTCAAAAGTGATGAGATGCTACTTAGTCTCTACAGATCTGAAGTCAGTTTAATCGCAGGACTTTTAAGTTGACTGGGATCTATTAACCACGAATTGTTTGGAATTGAATTAAAGGACACTGGCACTTGTAATTTCTCTAAAATGCAGTATTATTGGAGTAAGGTCCTTTATTACTGGAAGGTTATACCTGTACATTCCATTCCACCAGGTATTACTTGTGAGTTTTAAGGATATTAATGGTATTTTGAGAGTGTAGAATTTATGTGGAATAGACGTCGATTTGTATGTGAAAGCGTGAGTCCGGGAGCATGAGTCTATTATGCTCTGTGATATTGTCGATGCACCGCAGATGTGCTCTTGCTGTTTTTATTCGATTTTTTTAAAGTTTTCATACTTTTAATTCGATTATTTTATTATTATTATTATTTTGATTGGGTATTGTTAATATTTTTAATTCTTATTTTTATTTTGAAATGACAATGTTATTATATTTCATTCATAATCACCGGTCGCGTGGTGATTATGAGTACTTTTGTATAGTTCGGGTTACGTATTAAATGCAGGTGGATGTCCACAATACGGTAGTGATTGTAAATATGACCTAGGTGCTTATACATACTGTATATCTGTATTTGCAGAAGAGAAAGGTGGGGTGAAAAAACTTATCACCTCGGCAGAATGAAAACGAAGTCTATTGCGATCAAATTAATGTGTGTTAAGTTTAAATTAAATATATGGGCGATGGCATGATGGCCCCAGATACAGTTTGGATACATACTGGAGGCGTTAATTTCTACAAGTAATTATTAAATATGTGGTTATACACTTATCTAAGTTGGGCTAGAACAGTTTTTACTGCACTTAGAAGTCATCTCATCGATTAAACCCATTTGCAATGCAAATGTAAATTCAGTGCGAAGTTAATATAAGCCATCAAAGTATTCACTTCACAAAAATTCTCTTAATAATGATGATAATTTCACAAATTGGGATCATAAATTTTCTTGCATAAGAAGTCTACTTCATATGAGAAAACTGATTTTCAATTTAAATATTGCAATTATACATTCTAGATATATTCTGGATATTATATCATATATAAGCTCGCACAGTACTACGTGTCATCAAAACTATAAATCTACAATTCTTCACTTAAATCCGCAAACACTGAACGACAAATCTGAGGTGATTACATGCACGTTTACAGAAGGACATGCAAAGGATAGTAGAGGAAACATACATTTTACAAGAACTTTTCATAAAAGTGTAAGATTTTTACAATAAAATAAAGTGTGTATTTATGATTTTGAAATGCTCTATGAAGTGTGATAATCTATTTACGCATATGCATTCCCTTCATTCAGTTTGCATAAATAACATAAAAGGAAAACTGCATGAAAATGTGTTTTATGTATTCAAAATGCACACAATAAATTAATAAAAAGATATTTACTAATCGGTTTGAATTAGATACAAACATATACATTATTAGTGCACACATACATATAAAATAATAATCGACGCTGGAGTTCATTGCGGACAACCGCTTACATACCTTCAACGTTCACTTCAATATCTTCCAAACGGCCGCCGCTGTGATTGATGACAAAAGAGTTTGCTTGGTGAACAGGTCCGGGGCCGCCAAGTGAAACTTGAGGACCGGACATGCCACCGCTAATATTGATTGTGATAGGACAACCAGGTACGGGCATTTTGTTAAAGGAGACATTAATTGTGTGTTCACAAGCTTCAGTTGGTACGAAAGAAACGGAGAATCTGTGATGAGAAAGACAAGAAAATAAATTAATTTAAATCTTCAAGAAGCTAAAAGAGAAAGTTGTATTTACCTTGCACTGCCTTGCGGATGAACTTGCGTTGGGATGTTTTGTCCTTTCGCCGAAATTGTTATTTCCAAATTTCCTTCACCAGCATCACCGGCATCGACTGTAAATTGCACTGGTCTCCCGACTGTACCACGCGATACGCTACCCACAACTACTTTTGTTGCATCGTAAGATTTTGCTAAGAATGGTGTACCTTGTACGGGAAAACCATTGTATTCGACATTAATGGAGTGACCACCAACTGTAACGGGTGTAAACTCAGCTGTGAAACCAGCGTGTATATCTCCTGTTACACGCACCGGTAATTCACCATGTGGCCCACGCACACTGACTGCCAACTCAGCGGCACCACCTCCACTCACAGTTATATGAAAGGAAGCAGGCCGATTGACAGGTACCAGTTCCAAGTTTGATAAGTTTAGCATAACACGCGAAGTGTCTGCCACTGCACAAACAAATGGACAACCACGTACTGTTTCACCATTAAATTTAATGTCAATTAAATGTGATTTTGCTTGTTCTGGTGTAAAGGAGACCAAACAACGACCGCCACCAACGACTTGTACATGGTTTGGTACTTCGCCTTCATTTATTGATATTTCAAGTTGACCTTCTCCAGCTGCACTAGCATCTACACGAAATTGGCAAGGTTGTCCGACAATTCCGCCATTGACATCTGTAACCTGTATTAGACTGGCATCGTATACCTTTGCTATCAAAGGTCCGCCAGCTATTTTTGTGCCATTAATCGATGCTTCAATGATGTGCGTACCCACTTCAGTGGGTACAAACTCAATGCGTGCAGCACCATTTGCCGCCTCATGGGTGACTCTGGCATTCAGTTTTGATTTGTTTGGTGTCAAAACTGTTGCCACGCACTCGCCTTTACTCAGGCTTTGTCCAGGAGGCGGCAGTATCTCAAAAACCGCCGGTGTATTTGCTGGTACGAGGCGTGTTGATTCGCCAAGTGCTGTTAAACCGGGAGAAGACATTATTTCAACGTGCCAAGGTGAACCTGAAAAGAAGAATTTACAATAAATTAATGTGCTTTATAAAATCATTATAATACTATAAATTATACCAATGTATATATAGATATAGACCTAAGTGTAATTAAAGTGGTTTGGAAGTAATGTACTATCTATTGATATTAATGTATACATAATAATAATATAACGAAATCATAACTGTGAATAATATTTGTATTTTTTATGGAGTATTTAGAAAGCAATTATATCTAAATTGAAAGAAGTTATTTAGCTAGCAGTTAATTAAAATAGTTATTATCTATGGTTTGTTCTGAAGTAAGTAGGAACTTCTAATAAACACACTCAGAAAAATAGTTTGGTTGATTTCACCAGACTTTCACTAAGTCTCAAGTCAAAATATTCTTACTCGACCATCATGTTGGTTCAACTACACCACATGTTGGTTTATCACATGAGCTGACATTTTTCTAACAAAATGATCAGCTCCATTTATCTAGTATATGGTTAGAGCATATTTTTCTGAATGCATAGGAATGGCAGAAAGTTCTTTTTTAGTAACATCTAATTCTTTATTTCAGATAGTCACTTTTTGACTCAATATACCGATTCCTCGGCCTAATATTAAATAAGTATTCTAAATCGTCGATCTTTCAAAATGTCGGTATAAGTCTTTTCCATTTCCTACTATATCCAAACAAACGCTTTTTTTTATTGGTAAATAGAGTTGTTGGAATACGTACCGATTATACTGTGCCAAGTTCTAGTGAATATTACAAATGATAACCTTACCTTATAGATTAATGTAATCGTTATTGTAAGACTTCATTAAAAATACTTATATATATGCAAACCGATCTATTTAAATTAACATTGAAAATATATTTTTTACCGTATTTAATGAAAATACAAAGAAGAAAAGTATAGTAAAATAAAGACAATTCTATTTTTATCTTTATTCTAAGAAATACAGATATATGCAATCCATAAGTTATATAAATGTTACTGAGCAACCTTAGAGAACCGAGGTTTATTTATCGAAATTTAAGAAATTTTACAGAATTTCTATTTTAGTTTAGCTTGAGGAGAAAACAATATTAGAAAGTTTTAATGATATAGGGTGTGAAACTTTTTAAGAGAAAGACAATAAAATCAATATAATAATATGAACATATGTTAACATATGTAACATAGGACAGATTGCATGAGATAGAGGAATTGATAGACTAATACTTGGGAAAAGATTTGGAGGAAACCAAATATTTGATTATAATATTGATTATAATAATGATTGAATTGATTATAATATTTGATTATAATCATTTATTTGTCAAAATTAACAATAAAATACAGAAAAAATATATGAATAAAGAATGACAGCTTTTGGAGACTACTGAAGTGGAACACAAATGGATTGAACTACTATTATTTTGTTCTGGAATATCGAATATATTATTATTTATATATTAATATATATATTAATGAACTCAAACCAAATATTGTTTAAAACAAATGCATTTTGTAAAGGAAATTTGCGTCTATTTTACTCCTATTGTAATGTCTCTTAAGAGTGGGAGACAGGGTCTAGGATAAGTCAATTCTCGGTTATGTGAAATACATTGCAAAAAATAACAGTTCTTGCTTTCGGATATTAAGATACTGTTGATTGAAATATTGATTGTATATTTGCATTTTAAGATACTTAAGAAAAAACCTGAAGTACTTCACTTAAACTTGCATAATCTTATATATTTTTATCCCTCCTTTTCAGATTGGAGAATGTTCTCAGTGATAATATTTTATCTCTGACGTTTTCCCTCTTTTTAATAAAAATATTTTTATAGGATAGTTATTATCTTCTACTGAAGATAAATGACTTTTTATTTAGTTCAATTTTTTATTGTTTTTGTGATGTACTCTTTGCAAAAATAAATTTTATTTCTTTAAAGATGTTGGATACCGGAAAGACATTTTATGATAGTCTAACCATATTAGAAAGAGAATTGATATTAAATTATTTTTAGATTAACTTTAAAATAGTAGAAAGTAGTTTTCATGAGAATTTTTCACAATTAAATATCGAAAAATATTTCTCCATTAGAAATTCACGAGAGTTGCGGTAATTCATTCGTTTTATTCTTTTGACCTAAAAGATATTTAATGTCTTCTAAGGTTTCGAAATACTGGCCAGTTTCTCGATTAAAAACATTAATTCTCTTTATTTAAGTACGGTTATTTTTATGACTTCAATGAAGTTTTTCGATGTAAAAATGGACACTATTCATGATTTAATTCAAGTTTTATTTTACTTTAGAATAAAATAGTGGCATTATTATTTTTTTTTGATGAAAATAAATTAATTTAAATTTAGAAAAAGCATTTACGTAAGTCTTAGCAGCGCTTTAAGTGAAAAGTATTTGGGTTAGAACTAAATTAAAGTTGATAATTTTGTCACTATGCCGCTGTCTTTCTATTCAATAACATGTGAATCACTAGGGTAAAGTATTTAATTATAATTAAACTGTAATCAATTATATGATGCAATAAATGAATAAAATTATTTCTAAGAAAATTTAATAAATTTAATTAAAGTATCAACAACGTTTCAACAAAATATTTCATACAAATAAAAGAATTAGTTATACTATATGAGAATAGAGTTAAACATCGAGATAGACTTTAGACACATAGTGAGTTCTAATTTTTATATCTTTCAAACTATTCACAAACAAAGGGTGTATTCAGTTTATTAAAATGATTCCAATTCGATTGCAATAGTCAAAACCACGGAAACTACTTATAGGTAATTTTAAATATGAGATTAATTTATTTGCATAAACTCGTTTTTGCAATCAATTTTAACAGCCTAAGAAAAAAATTATTCTTAGATTACATGGGTTTCTATACACCAATGATCAGAAAGAACTGCAGTAAGCCTTGTAGTGTTCACGGGATCTCGTTTCATGAGTTCCGAGGATCTATTTCTATTAAAGGTTGACCATGTTAACCTGGAAGTTGCACATGTCTGTGCTTTCCATATGTTATTGGCAAGTTGCAGAAAGTAGAAGAAAGTACTTCTCTTAATGGTCTCTTGGGTAATATAAGTTGGTACCGCCAGGGACACATCCATGGAAGTACCAGAGCGGGCTAAACTGTCAGCTTTCTCGTATATATGGCCACATGTACTCTATATATAAGATGACACACAAAATTGGAGAGAAAGCCAAACAAGGGCAGATCATTATACCGTACATTCATGTTGATCAGAAGCATGTGTTGCTTCTACAGTCCTCCTTTAACGTTTCCTTAACTGCGTCTCTTTTTTAAAACTAATTTCAGAAAGGTTGACAAAGAAGTTCTGTCATATGTGAAGCTAATACGTTTTGTGAATTAAGTTCCAGATAAAACTATAATATAACATTCTACGACTGGCTCTGATTCCACTTTATCCATTTTATTTTATTGACACATTTTAATTTATTGACAAAAATTTACAACTACAATTCCGATCCATCTAATCGGACTTTCAAACGAGAAAATTGACAAAATAATATTCTTGATATTTATACTTAGCAAATAACTCTTACACAGATGGTTTGTAATTAGACAAAAAAGTTGAGTTTGGAATTTCGTCAGTAAGAAATACATCTAAAGTTAAACACAAATTACCAGACGATGCTTACTGTATAAAAGACATATATCAGAAACCGGTGTAAGATTCTCTACTGATAACTAAGCAACTTTAAGAGATATGACCTATCCTATACTTAGTCCGGTGCTAGCCTGATCTCTCCAATAACATATGTATCTTCTGGATATCAAAATATAGTGACTACTAAACCTATATAGGTTGAAATATATAAGTATAATTCTAATATAAATTAGGTTAAAACATAAACTATAACTAATGTCAGTTATTTTCTTAATATTTACATATTAATCAATGCCTGTAAATCTATAAGACATTCATCTTTCCTCAAAGAGAAACAAATGAAGCAGGAAACTAAGACAACTTGTGCCATGGCTAAATTATATAAATTATATCTTTTGTAATAGGTTATTGGGTAATTGTCAGAATTCACAGAGACTTACAAACGATTTATGTGACTTCTGCAATGACTTTCATTTATTAAGATCTCATTTATTGTGCAAATGCATAGGTTCGGGAAGAAACAGAACTAGAACAGAACAGAATTCTTGGATAACCCCTTTTTGAGAACCTCGAAAGACTATTAGAAACTGAAATTGGAAGAAATTAATTAAAAATATCAACGTACCCCTATATACACTATAGTATATCAGATATTTACGTATTAATAAATGCCTGTAAAGCTACGATACACTTATTTATATAGGACGTGTGCGAGTTAGGCTAATTTGATGCTAAACCAAATGGGAGATTTTTTGGGATTTTTTGCACTGCACACATTTTGCCATTTATCAACACGTATCGACACATCACTACATTATCGGCACAACTTAGAATTTCCCTCATTTAGAACGCAACTTAGCCTAACTCGCACACGACCATAGTACAATATTGAAGCAATATAGTACAACTTGTGCCAAGATTGAACAAATCTGGACAAAATCAGCAATATTATGTTCTTCATAAACAGTCCCAGCTTAAATTTCAGGAATACATAGAGACATTCTAACTTCTAACTGTCTATCTTTGTGGGTTTTGCTAAGAGAAAGAGTAAGAACAATCAAGCTCTGATCAATTATGCTGATTTCCAGTCTTTAATAAAAGCAGAGCTAGAATTTTTGGAAAAGAAGCTTTTTAAGAACTACAAAGAGTGTCTGACTCTATTATCGGAAGCTTCTCAAAACACTCTGGTTAATGTTACTCTGATAGCTATTGAGTTAATTTTAAATGTATTATAAAAACCGTTTAGAAAACTGAATTAACAGAAGGTGGTACATATATATAATAACATGTTTAAGCCGTTCAAAAAACCAATTCATCAAAAGGTGGTACATCATATAATAATATTGTTAAAATTATTCTGGTCAGCCCTGAATCAGA